GCTGGCCCTAGCCAGTTTGGCTCAGCGGTTAGAGCATCGACCTGCGGTCCAGAGAGACCTGGGTTCGGTTCCCGCTAAGGGCACGTACCTTGGTTGCAGTTTGTCCCCGGCCCTGGTTGGGTTGTACGGGTGGCAGCCACTCGATGTGTCCCTTTCACGTCTACATTTCTCTTTCTCTCTCTTCACATCATTGGCAATGATGTTCTCCCATACAGTGGGTTGCCTTTCCATTTTGATGGTTGTTTCTTTTGCTGTGCAGAAGCTTTTTAGTTTGATTTAATCCCATGTGTTCATTTTGTCCTTTGTTTCTGTTGCCTTAGGTGATGTATCAGTGAAAATTCTACTGCGTATGATGTCCGAAATTTTGTTGCTTACATTTTCTTCTAGAATTTTTATGGATTCATGGGTCACATTTAAGTCTTTTATCCATTTTGAGTTTATTTTTGTGTATGGTGTAAGTTGATGGTCTAGTGTCATTTTTTTGCATTTAGCTGTACAATTTTCCCAACACCATTTATTAAAGAGGCTGTCTTTACTCCACTGTATGCTCTTGCCACCTTTGTGAAATTTTATTTGAGCATATTGCCTTGGGTCCATTTTTGGGTTCTCTATTCTGTTCCACTGGTCTATATGCCTGTTCTTGTGCCAGTACCAGGCTGTTTTGATTACAGTTGCTCTGTAGTATAACCTGATATCTGGTATTGTGATCCCACCTGCTTCGTCCTTGTTTTTCAAGATTGCTGTGGCTATTCGGTGTCTTTTTTGGTTCCATATGAACCAAAGTATGTTTTTTCTGCTTGGGATTTGTTTAGCTTCTTGGACTTGTGGATTTATAGTTTTATAAAACTTGAAAAGATTTTGGCCATTGTTTCTTTAAATATTTGTTCTGGTACCCTCTTCTTTCCTGGGACTCTAATTACATACATTTTAGATGTTTTATATTGTCCTAGAGCTCTCTTAAAAACTTTTTGGTCTTTTTTTCACCTGTGTTATAGTTTGGATATTCCTAGTGCTATGATTTCAAGTTCACCAATCTTTTCTTCTGCAGTGTCTAATCTGCTGTAAATCCCTCCCAGTGTATATTTTATTTCAGGTATTGTATTTTTTATTTCTAGAAATTCCATTTGAGTTTTTTTATATTCCATGTTTCTTTCTTTTTTTTTTTTTAAGAGAAGAAAATAGGCTGATATTTTATTTTTATTTTTTTTATTATTATTATTATTTTTTATCCTCACCCGAGGACATTTTTCCATTTTTTGTTCAGGTAGAGTGGGAGGGAGAGAGAGGAACAGAGAGAGAGAGAGAAACATCGATGTGAAGGGACACATCGAGTGGTTGCCACCCGCACAACCGACCAGGGCCGGGGACAAACTGCAACCAAGGTACATGCCCTTAGTGGAACCGAACCCGGGTCTCTCCGGACCACAGGCCGACACTCTAACCGCTGAGCCAAACCGGCCAGGGCTCCATGTTTCTTTTTAACATGTATATACTTTTCTCTACCTTATTGAACCTACAGAGTATATTTATTTTTATTATAAAAAAAAAAATTTTTTTTTTGCCTTTATTGATTTTAGAGAGAGAGGAAGTGAGAGGGAGAGAGAGATGGAACATCAATGAGAGAGAACATCGACCGAATGCCCCCCATTGGGGACCGGACCCACAACCTGGGCATGTGTCCTGACTGGGAATCGGACCGGTGACCTCTTGGTGCATGGGTTAATGCTCAACCACTGAGCCACACTGGTCAGACCAGAGTATATTTATAATAGCCATCCTTATCTGCTAATTTGATCTATCATTTCTGGATCTGTTTCTGTTGATTGGGTTTTTTCTGTGATAATGATCCATATTCTTCTGCTTCTTTGCCTGGTAATTTTTGATTGGATGCTGAACATTTTGGATACTTACATTGCTGGTTACTAGCTTTTCTAATATTTCTTTAAATATTGTTTGGATCTTTTTCTGACAGGTAATCCAGTCAATTGGAATCAGTTTGATCCTTTCAAGGCTTGCTTTCCTTAACACCCCACATATTTGGAGATTTTTTTTTTTTTCTTTTTTTTTTTTTTTATCCTCACCCGAGGATATTTTTCCATTTTTTGTACAGATAGAGTGGGAGGGAGAGAGAGGAAGGGAGAGAGAGAGAGAAACATCGACGTGAAGGGACACATCGAGTGGCTGCCACCCGCACGACCAACCAGGGCCGGGGACAAACTGCAACCGAAGTACGTGCCCTAAGCGGGAACCGAACCCGGGTCTCTCCAGACCGCAGGCCGACGCTCTAACCGCTGAGCCAAACCGGCCAGGGCTGGAGATTTTTTTTTTACTCTAGCTGGTAGGAATTATTCTCTACCCTGTGTGAGCTTGAAGGATTGTTCTGCTTACTAATTGTTTTTTTTTTTTTTCTCTTATATTCTCAGGTGGTTTCTTACATGTATAGGCATAGAAGACATATTCAGCCAAAGACTTGAGGGACCCTTCTGCAAATCTTCAGAACTTCCTCTCTCTGCAATTCTTTTCTCTCCAACTGTCTCCTCAGCTCAGTGAGACCCATAGGCTCTGTTGGGACTCTCCCTCCTTGTGCTGAGGTCAGGAGACCCCAAATAGTGAGCTCGAGAACTTACAGAGCTCAGATGGTTTATGCATAAAGACAAAACTGCTAAGTACAGAAAGACCCAGTTCCCCACCTCTTTCTTTGTTCTCTTTCCTGTAATCTTCACCTGTGTGTCTCCTTTACCACGTGCACAGAACACTTCACTTCTGGTCACCAAATGTGTGAAGGTTTTCCCCATACCAAGCAACTCTGTGATGGCAGCTGGGTGTCCCCCAGTTTAACTAAATCCTGACGCAGTCTATCTGGAGATTATGTCAGACCCCATAGGCTAAGGGCCGAGCTCCACAAAACCTCTTTTACCCATTTCAGATGCAAATTGCAAGTGGTAGGTCCCCAGATTACCCACAGCTTATGTCTGATTTGGTTGCAGATTGGAGGTTCCCACAACTCCCTCCTTATATTTGATTAATTTGCTAGAGCAGCTCTCAGAGCTCAGGGAAATACTTATGTTTACCAGTGTATTAAAGTATATGATAAAGGACACAGATGAACAGCTAGACAAGAAATGCACAGGGCGAGGCCTAGGGGTTCCTGAGTACAAGAACTCTTGCCATGTGGATTTAGGGTGTATCACCCTCCCAATGTGGATGTGTTTGCCAACTGGAAAGCTCTCTGAACCACCTCCTGCTGGGATCTTCCTCATTTGGGCATGGTCAGTTACTAACTTCCATCTCCAGCCCTTCTCTGGGGGGTTGGGGGTGGGGCTGAGCATTCCAAGCTTTTAATCAGGGCTTAGTTTTTCCGGTGATCGGTTTCCATCCGGGAGCCGTCTAGGGTCCCACCTGGAGTTGCCTCATTAGAACAGAAGATGCTCCCAGTGCTCTTGCTACCCAGGGCATTTCAAGGATTTTAGGAGCTCTGTGCAAAAACCAGAAACAGAGATCAATATATATATTTTCTATTATCTCATAGTTTCCCTTCCCGCAGGAATTTCAGTCTTGTGTTACCTGTTGTCCAATGTCTAGAAACTTTTGTTCATATATTTTGATTGGTTTTCTAATTATTATTATTATTATTATTATGTTTTATCCTCACTCGAGGACGTTTTCCTATTTTTTGTTCCGGTAGAGTGGGAGGGAGAGAGAGGAAGAGAGAGAGAGAGAGAGAAACATCGACGTGAAAGGGACACATTGAGTGGCTGCCATCCGCACAACCAACCAGGGCCGGGGACAAACTGCAACCGAGGTACGTGCCCTTAGCGGGAACCCGGTCTCCCTGGACAGCAGGCCAATGCTCTAACTGCTGAGCCAAACTGGCCAGGGCTGGTTTTCTAATTATTTAAAGTGGGAGGTTTTATCTACTGCTGATGACCCCATCATGTCTGGAAGTAAAAGTCCAACTTGTTACTTTTATTTAAAAAATTTTTTTTCTTAAATTGATTTTAGAGAGAGAGGAAGGGAGAGGGAGAGAGAAAGATGGAAATATTGATAAGAAAGAACATCGATTGGCCACCTCCCGCATGCCTCGCACTGGGGATCTGGCCCACAACCTGGGCATGTGCCCTGACTGAGAATCGAACTGGCGACCTCTCGGTGCAGGGTTGACGCTCAGCCACTGAGCCGCACTGGCTGGGCCAACTTGTTCTTTTATTGATGAGTGGAAATTCATTGAATGGGTATGCCACATTTGTTTAATCTTCCACCTGTTGTTGGACATTTGAGTTGTTTCTAGTTTTTGGCTCTTATAAATGAAACGGTGGAAGTCTTTGTTTGAACATATGTTTTAATTTCTTTTGAGTAAATACCTAGGGGTTGAATTCCTGGATCATAGATTATTGTATATTTAAGTTTTAAGACATTGGCAAACAGTTTTCCACAGTGGTGTACCAGTGATACATGTGTAAGAGTTCTTGCTCTATGTTATCGCCACTACTTGGTGTTATCATCTTTTAACCCTTCAGTCATCTAGTGGGTACATAGTGGTATCTCATTGTAGTTAAATCTGCATGTTCCAATAGCGAATGATGTTGATAATCTTTAATGTGCTTATTGGCCATTTGTATTTTTAAAATAAAGATTAAGTTTATATCTTTTCTCCATTTTCCTTCATTGGTTTATCTTGTTGTCACTGAATTGCAAGGTTTCTTTTCATGTTCTGGGTATAAATCCTTTGTCAGGTACACAGAGCCCATGACCCTGAGCACTCCTCTGCTGTGCCGAGGGGGACAGGGGTGAGGGTGACAATGTAAATAGGAGAGAGATGCTGTGTCTTAGACTGGGGTAGGGGTTTCGATGGAGAAAAATTGGTGGAATTTTAAAATTATTTTTTAAAAACTTCAAGGAATTCTGGGTCTATTTATCTTTCCCTTTGTCTTCTGAATCTTCTTAATATATTTAAGATATCAAATCTAAATTATTTCTATGCTTGAATTAATTACAGGAGGATGTCTCAGGAACCTAGGACATACGCTCTTTTCCTTTTCCTTTCTCTGAGCCATGGAGTGGCAAGTCTCCGAGTTCCAAACTCCAGGCAGGGTAAGTCCCAGGGAGGAACAATCTGTCCTGGTTCCCACAGCTTAGGGGGTGGAGTGGCGATGGGTCACTTTAGGTGCGTGATGCTGTAAAGTATCCTGGAGTGTGTGTGTGTGTGTGTGTGTGTGTGTGTGTGAGAGAGAGAGAGAGAGAGAGAGAGAGAGAGAGGGAGAGAGAGAACACATGTCCATGTGTGAGCACGTGTAGGATTTTCAGGGTTATTGTAAAAGGGATTTTTTAACTAAAGTTTTCTCACATGGGGCACATATAGGTGCAGGTATAATTAAACCCACTGTCATTTTCTTCATGACAGACTTTCAGGGGTTCTTTTCCTAACCCACACTCGTATCTCTGAAGGTCACACAACTCAATTCTAGTTATGCATTCATTGGCTTTCTTACAGATTTGCACCCGTTGTTGCAAAAAATGGCAGTGAGTATTCCTTTTTCTTTTAAACCCAAACCTCCTTACTAGAGCTGCCAGCTTTGGGATGTACTTGATGTTATCTCTTTGCCTTTTAGGAAGAAATAATAGATGGAAACTATCTGAATGGTAATGTCCCCACCCTGCCCCCACCTGCTGCTTCTAAGAATTTCACACCGAATGTGACTGATCCCTCTGGAATGATTGCTTTCTAAGCTCTTTTCATTTTATTCCCATTGTAGCATTACTGGATCTCATACAGTTTCAAAGGTAACCTGCCCCAGAGGGGAGGGGATGGGATGGAATCGCTTTTTAAAAATGTTCTTAACAAAAGTCTCTTAGTTATAAAAAGTAATACATACTTATTACCAAAAAAGTGTCAACCAAAGCACAAGCATTTTTTTTAAGTAGACACATTTGTTCCACAAACTTGTGCCCCCCTCTGCTCCAGCATAGGAGCTGACGTTGACTGAGTGCTCCCTACGTGCAGGTGCGGCTCTAAGTGCTCTGTGCGAGGAAACACCTCTAGTCCGCACAGGCATGCCGGAGGCCTGCTGTGAGCCCAGCCCAGCAGCCGGAGCGGTGGCACGGAGGCGGGGGTGGGGGGGTTGTGCACCGGGTCTCACGGCCGAGGTGGAGATGCCCTGTGTGCCCAGCAGCCTGGCTCCCGGCGCACCGTCCTTCCGCTGCGTTGTTACCTGTGCAGATGGCCGGCGTGATACCGACACGAGGCAGAGCTCTGGGAGCTCATGGAAAGACATATGTTAGCAGATAATTTGAATACGACAAGTACTCTGAGAAGAGAGGGAGGCCTTGGGGCCTCATGACAGGGGCACTCAGTTCTGCTAAAGCGAGAGATCCCCTCAGGATAGACCCTCTCCCTAAGATAACACCAACTGATAGTTTTGGATATATTCTTTCAGGCTAAAATATTCATCCATCCATCCATCCATCCATCCATCCATCCATCCATCCATCCATCCATCCATCCATTCATAACAAAAATGGGATTATAAAAGGCCTTCTAGCGGCCTACCGCAGGAGGGCTTCTCTGTCGCCAGTCTGCGGTGTCTGGAAGCAGCCGCCTGGCCCGTGCCGTCGGCGGCGAGTGTATTCCGCGGACCCGACGCGCCCTCCTTGCTGAGCCTGGCACTTGTTGCTGGATGTTTGCGTTGTTCCCGATGTTGGCTATTACGAATGGAACTGCATTTGCTCTGTGTTGAGCGCTGTTTTAAGCACTTTAATGGTGTAAGCAAATTGAATCCTCACCATGGTTAGTTGTATAACATAGAAAGGGAAACTGAGGCACAGGGTAATTCAACAACTTGCCCAAGGCCACACTTGGATGCACAGTGTTCGAGTCCAGGCTTCAAGCCCACGCTATCGTGGTGCTCTTCCAGACCACGCACGCACCTGCCTTCACACTTGGTCAGTGAGGACACCGTTCTGAGTCCATCTGTGTGCGCTGTAGCTGATTTAGGGGGATTGTTATGGGAACTGGAGTATTGCACACAGCTCAGAGATCAATACCTGTCCCTGGGAGAATGGGATCCGAGCGGGTTCCCAGACTTGGAAACTCCCCCTGAGCCCACGCACTGTGCCAGGTCAGCAGGTCTCCTACCTCCACACAGTCCCCAGCACCCGCCCCATCCCACCACCCTCTCGGACTCCCGTCCCCTGGGCACTCAGCTGGTAGGAGAATGCCTCATCATGGGAACTGTCATCATGTCCTTCTCCCATCTGTCCTGACCGAAGCTCCCACGTGTGGACGGCAGACCTGTCCCACAGAGTCCTGGCCTACCTGAATGCACGGAATGTCGCCTTCACCATGCCCAGCCTGCAGGTGTGTACCCGGCCCACCCGCATGTCCCCCTCTCTGCTCAGGGATTGCAAACACAGGCTGATGAGTGGAGAAGTGGGTTAGGGTAGAGCTAGCCCCCACTCACCCAAAGACACATGTTCTGTCCGGTTTTCCTTAAAGCACGATGCAAGTTCTTTGTCTGCCTTTTATTTTTCCACCTTTGAAGGAGACATGGCGTATTAGGGTATAATCTGAGCTGCTGTAGCAAAGAGACCCCAAATTAAAGCACTCAGATAATTTAGTTTATTTCTGTCTCATGTAATAGACCCAGAGAGGATCTACTTCAAAAGACCTTCCAGGGGCCCAGATTCCTTCTCTCATGTCGTCTTCTAGAGGGTTGTTGCCCACAGGCCTAAAACAACACATCTGCTCTCTAGCCCAAGGGGCGTGGGTGGGAAACAGGAAGCGAAGGGTGAGCATCTTCTCTCTCTCTTTTTTTTTTAAAAAAAAAAAAATGTTTTTATTGATTTTTTTGAGAGAGAGAGAGAGAGAGATAGAAACATCAATGTGAGAGAGAGACATCAGTTGGCTGCCTCCTACATGCCCCCATGGAGCCCAAAACCCAGGCATGTGCCCTGATTGGGAGTCAAACTGGGACCTCTCAGTCCTTGGGACGACGCTCAATCCACTGAGCCTCATCAGCCGGGCAATACATTTTTTTAGTATAAATATGTCCTGTGCAGTATTTGGGATATACCTATGCTAAAATATTATTTGTTGCTTATCTGCAATTAAGATTTTAATGGGCATCCTGTATTTTATCCAGCAAACTAGTTAAGTAACTTGTCCAAGGCCACACAGCTAGTAAGTGGCAAGGTGGGGGTTTGCACGTGGGTTGTCTGGTTCTAGAGCCCCCCTTTAACCACGATCTCACGCTGTGCTGCCTTTCTAGAGCAGCTCCATTTAAGGGAGATTTATAAAGTAATTCCCCATATCGCAGAGGAAATCTCTTTTAGGAGAGGCTGCCAGAGGGGATTTGATCGTGCTCCCTGAATTTTTGTCTTGCACTTGTAGCTCGGGGCATGGGAGAGTGCCCACCTGGGGCAAGCTTTCTGGACTAGGAACCTCCATTACCTCCAGGGTCCAGGCCGGCGTTGGAGAGGTCGGCCGGGTGGGTGGGTGGCGAGCTGATTGTCACCAGGTGGGGACGGTGTCCAGCATGGCCACATCTTTGTGTTTTCCAAGAGAAGTTGGAGATCTAAATTTTTGTGAGAAATACCCTCTTTTAAATGTTGGCAGCTAAAGGAAAAGTTCAGAGCCAGCCTGCCCTGGGCCGGCTGCTCGCTGGAGGGCTCTGCAGCGCAGGAGGTGGCCTGCTGGGCTGCTGGCCGTGGTGCTGACCGCTCTGCCCTGTCCTCACCGGCTCTCCCAACCCCTCACCCAGGCAGCTGTGGAAAACCACCTGGAGCAGCTTCTATACCAGCCCCAGAAGCTGCTGGAGGACCTGCGGGAGGCAGACGCTCAGCAGTTCCACACCGCCATGAGGTGCCTCTGGGAGGGCAAGAAGGACCACTTGGTGAGGCTCGAGCATGAGGAGCGGGCAAGTCCAGGGCCCCAGGGCCGGGTGTTGGTTAGAGAGCTGAGCCTGACTCAGGCTCCCTCCTCGCTCCCAGCCCCTCGGGAGCTTTGGACCTAGGTTTTCTCTGAAGTTCAAAGGAAGAGCCTTATGATTCATATTCTTTTTTAAAATATTTTGTTCAGATAGAGTGGGAGGGGGAGAGAGAGAGAAACATCGACGTGAAAGGGACACACCAAGTGGTTGCCACCCACACAACTCAACCAGGGCTGGGGACAAACTGCAACCGAGGTACATGCCCTTAGCGGGAACCGAACCCAGGTCTCTCCGGACCGCAGGACAACACTCTCACTGCTGAGCCAAACAGGCCAGGGCGTGATTCATATTCTTATGGCTACTAAGAAATGAGGGGCACCGAGGGACCCCAGCAGTCTGGCTAATAAACATGCGTGAATAATCGCTATGCACCTGGGACACTGGTTCAGAGATAAGACACTGCCCCTGACCTCAAGGAGGGGAGACAGAAAACAGAAACAGATCATTTCCACAAAACAAACTTGGTGATGGAAGAGCAAAGGAAGGCCTCAGACCCCGAAAGCCCGCGGGGTCTGGGGACAGGAGGTTTTGAGCGTCTTCCTCAGAGACAGGTCCATGTGGAGCAGTGTTCCCAAAAGGAGCCGAACATTTAAACATTTTCATAATCATAGATGTACTGTAATGTCTAAGACTGATAGAATAGACACTCAAACCTGTGAACTTGGTAGTAGAAGTGTAATGTTTCCTTTTGAAATGACGTTTTTAAAAACGTTTGTTAAAAAATATATGAAGCAAATAATGGAAAAGGAGGTGCCAGGCTATGGCAGAAGTGGGGATGGTGGCCCACGGGAGTGACAGTGATGGATGTGTGTTGTGGGTTTACGTTGTCAGATACTATTCTAAGGGAATGGCCGGCAGACGGTGTCTGTGAAGGACAGGCCCGCAGTGTGTCACCGGCCTCCCCTCTGCGTTGTGGCAGGAGCGCAGCCAGGCAGGCAGGTGAAGGAATGGGTGTGGCCCTGTTCCCACAGCACGGCCTCCACTGACCGGCAGGGGCCAGCTTGCTCGTGGGCATGGTCTGCCAATAGTGCCCTGAGGTGCAGCAGCATGGACGCACCGCTTTCTCTGAGGAACTTCTGTAATAAGATAGTAAAAATCTTACCCCTGAAATATTCGGATGAGGACATGGGCTTGGGGAGGTAGGGAGGTAATCTCGGGTCGCACAGCTTGAAAGTGCAAATCTGAGGTTGGAACCTGGCCTCCGGCTCCAGCTGTGAGCCCTTCCGGCATCTGGTGAAAGCCACGGGCTCCCTCTCAGAATATTGTGTTCAAATCTCTAAAATAAATGACATAAAACAATTACAAAGGAAGCCAATTCTATAGCAATACCTTAATCAAAATATATGAAGAAACAAAGTCAGAGTGGAGTGACCCACACACCCAGGACGCGGCGTCGCAGTGGCCCCATCGCTCCTGCAGGTCGGGGTGCTGACGGGTGAGACTTCGCGCGTCAGCAACTGGAAGGCGGTATGAAAGAGCCTGTGACGCCTGCTGATGACAAACCAAAGGTCCTGCTACCACCTTTGTGGCTTGTTGCCTAAGTCTGTCCCTGAACCAATGCTGGTGTCAGTCCTGTGGCCGCGAGGACGAGGGTGCAGTCCCCGGGTTTACAGATGTCCCGATTTCTACCTGCGCGCTCCTGCTGAAGAGCCCAGCGGTGCCCCGGCCACACTGCTGCGCCCGCAGTAAGAGGCAGAGTCCGCAGGAGTGCGGGCGGGCTCGGATGGTCTCAGGCCCCAGCTCCATGTAGGTCAGGTCAGAGCAGGTGGCTACTGCCTCTTATTTTCACCACCTGTGATACTGAGTTAATGACAGCATATAACATTTGTGGAATGTTTACCGAGAACCTTATTTATTATCTAGTTCAAGGTAGATTAGATGTAGGCACCATTAAGGAGGAGAAAACAGATAATAAAAAAATAATACAGCCCTGGCCGGTTTGGCTCAGCGGTTAGAGCGTCGGCCTGCGGTCTGGAGAGACCCGGGTTCTGTTCCCGCTAAGGGCACGTGCCTCGGTTGCAGTTTGTCCCCGGCCCTGGTTGGCAACCATTCGATGTGTCCCTTTCACGTCGATGTTTCTCTCTCTCTCCCTCCCCCGCACTCTGTCTGAACAAAATATCGAAAAATGTCCTTGGGTGAGGATAAAAAAATAAAAAAAAGATAATACAGAAACAATAAGTGGAGGGCCTGGGCTTTGAATCTCAGAATGTCTGACCCTGGACCTATGGTCTTCACCTAGAGGACCGGTGTGGGCATTTATGAGCAGACACACCTTTACTCTGTGCCTGGCACAGCGCCTGGTACGTCGTCAGTGCTCAGTAGTAAATGGTGGCTGACATTTTTGGAGGGTGTGTTGGGTGAAGGACAGAGGGTCCTGTCAGCATTACTGGACTCTGTGGTTCGTAGGATTCACTCACTCATGCAGTCATTCAACAGGTTCTTTCTTTTTATTTATTTTTATTTTAAATGTATTTTTGTTGTTGAAAGTATTACAGATATGCCTCCTTTCCCCCCCAATTGACACCCTCCTCCCTGCTCCCCTCCTTCACCACACTGTTGTTTGTGTCCATGGGTTATGTATACATGCATATAAGTTCTTTGATTTATCTCTTATTACCCCTAAACCCCTGTCCCTCTGAGGTTTGTCAATCTGTACCCTACCTCCCTGTCTTTAGATCGATTTTTTTCATTAGCTTATTTTGTTCATTATATTCCACAAATAAGTGAGATCATGTGATACTTGTCTTTCTCTGACTGGCTTATTTCACTCAGCATAATGCTCTCCAGGTCCCTCCATGTCCTCTCAAAGGGCAAGAGATCTTTCTTTCTTACAGCTGCATAGTACTCCATTGTATAAATGTACCACAGCTTTTTTATCCATTCATCTACTGATGGACACTTGGGCTGTTTCCAGATCTTAGCTATTGTAAATAATGCTGCTATGAACATGAGGGTGCATATATTCTTTCTGATTGATGTTTTAGGCTTCTTAGGATATATTCCTAAAAGTGGTATCACTGGGTCAAATGGCAGTTCCATTTTAAATTTTTCTGAGGAAAACACCATATTGTTTTCCATAGTGGCTGCACCAGTCTGCATTCCCACCAGCAGTGTACTAGAGTCCTCTTTTCTCCACACCCTTGCCATCACTTGTTGTTTGATGATTTGTTGATAGTAGCCATTCCAGCAGATGTAAGGCAAAACCTCATAGTTGTTTTAATTAGCATCTCTCTGATGATCAGTGACATTGAGCATTTTTTCATGTCTCTTGGTCATTTGTACGTCCTCTTTGGAGAATTGTATATTTAGGTCCTCTGTCCATTTTTTAATTGGATTGTTTGTCTCCCTTTTGTCAAGTTGTATGAGTTCTTTATATATTTTGGAAATTAACCTGTTATCTGATGTATCATTGGCAAATATATTCTCCCATATAGTGGTTTCCCTTTTCATTTTCACACTGGTTTCTTTTGCTGCATAGAAGCTTTTTAGTTTTATGTAGTTCCATTTCTTATTTTTCCCTTTGTTTCTCTTGCCCTAGGCAATATATTGATGAAAATTCTGCTACATGTGATGTCTGAGATTTTTTTGCCTACATTTCCTTTTAGGATTTTTATAGTTTCATGTCTAACATTTAAGTCTTTTATCCACTTTGAGTTTATTCTGTCTGTGGTGTAAGTTGGTGGTCTAGTTTCATTTTTTTTTTTGCATGTGCCTGTCCAATTCTTCCAACACCATTTATCAAAGAGACTGTCTTTACTCCATTGTATGCTCTTGGCTCCTTTGTCAAATATTAAAAGAGCATAATGGCTTGGGTTGATTTCTGGATTCTCTGTTCTGTTCCATCCATCTATATGCATGTTCTTGTGCCAGTACCAGGCTGTTTTTATTACAGTGGCTTTGCAGTATAAGCTGATATTCAGTATTATGATCTCTCCAACTTTGTTCTTCTTTCTCAAGATTGCTGTGGCTATTTGGAGGTCTCTTTTTGGTTCCATATAAACTTTTGGAGTATTTGTTCTAGATCTGTAAAATATACCATTGGTATTTTAATAAGAATTGCACTAAATCTATAGATTGTTTTGGGTAGTATGAACATTTTAATGGTCGTGATTCTTCCAATCCATGAACATGGTATATACTTCCACTTTTTTATATCTTCCTCTGTTTCTTTTTTCAATGTCCTGTAGTTTTCTGAGAACAGGTCATTTACCTCCTTAGTTAAGTTTATTCCTAGGTATCTTAATTTTTTTTGTTGTAATGGTAAATGGGATTGTTTTTTTAGTTTCTCTTTCTGAGTATTCATTATTGGTGTCTAAAAATGCCGTTGATTTCTGGATGTTAATTTGTATCCTGCTATTTTGCCAAATTCATTTATTTAGTCTAGAAGTTTTTTGGTGAAGTCTTTAGGGTTTTGTACAATATCATGCCATCTGCAAATATTGACAGTTTTACTTCCTCCTCTCCAATTTGGATGCCTTTTATTTCTTCTTCTTGTCTAATTGATGTGGCTAAGACTTTCTGTGTTGAATAAGAGTGGTGAAAGTGGACATCCCTGTCTTGTTCCTGTTTTTGCCCATTGAATATGATGTTGGCTGTAGGTTTTTCATATATGGCCTTTATTATGTTGAAGTGTGATCCTTCTATTCCCACTTCGCTGAGAGTTTTTTTTTTTTTTTAATCCTCACCTGAGGATATTTTTCCATTTTTTGTACAGATAGAGTGGGAGGGAGAGAGAGGAAGGGAGAGAGAGAGAGAGAAACATCGACGTGAAGGGACACATCGAGTGGCTGCCACCCGCACGACCAACCAGGGCCGGGGACAAACCGCATCCGAAGTACATGCCCTTAGCGGGAACCGAACCTGGGTCTCTCCGGACCGCAGGCTGACGCTCTAACCGCTGAGCCAAACTGGCCAGGGCGAGAGTTTTTTTTTTTTAATCAGAAATGGGTGCTGGATTTTGTCAAATGCTTTTCCAGCATCTATTGATATAATCACATGAATTTTATCTTTTATTTTGTTTATGTAGTGTATCACATTTATTGATTTGCAAATATTGTACCAGCCTTGCATCCCTGGGATAAATCCCATTTGATTGGGGTGAATAATTTTTAAAATATTTTTTTGGATCTCATTTTCTAATACTTTGTTGAGGATTTTGACATCAATGTTCATCAGAGATATTGGCCCATATATTTCTTTCTTTGTAGTGTCTTTATCTGTTTTTGGAATTAGTATTATGCTGGCCTCATAAAAAGAGCTTAGAAGTCTTTCTTCCTCTTGAATTTTTTGGAATAGTTTGAGGAGAACAGATGTTAGTTCTTCTTTGAATATTTGGTAGTACTCCTCTGTGAAGCTGTCCGGATCAGGCTTTTTGTTTGCTGGGGGATTATTATTATTATTATTATTATTATTTTGTTAATCTTCACCTGAGGCTACTTTTCCATTGATTTTCAGATAGATTAGAAGGGAGGGAAGGAGAAAGAGAGGGAGACAGAAAAATTAATGTGAGAGAGATACATAGATTAGTTGCCTCCTGCATGACCCTGACCATGGCTGGGCATCAAACTTGCAACCTAGGTACGTGGCTTTGACTGGGAATTAAACCTGTACACTTTGGTCAGGGGGTTGACTTTCTAACCATTGAGCCAAACTGGCCAGGTAAGCTGCTGGTAGTTTATTGATTACTGCTTCAATTTCCTTAGTTGTTTTGGTCTGTTTAGGTTTTATGACTCTTTCTGGTTGATTTTTGGAAGTCTGTATCATTCTAGGGATTTATTCATTTTGCCTAGGTTGTCCAATTTGTTGGCATATAATTGTTCATAGTATTTTCTTACAATCCTTCATATTTCTGTGATGTCAGTTGTTACTTCACTGCTTTTATTCTTTTATTTTATTTATTTGGGTCCTCTCTCTTTGTTTCTTGATGAGTTTGGCTAAAGGTTTATCAATCTGGTTTATCTTTTCAAAGAACCACCTCTTGGTTTCATTGGTCTTTTGTATTGTTTCTTTAGTCTCTATGTCATATTTTTCCACTCTGTCTTTATTATTTCCTTCCTTCTACTTACTCTGTGTTTTCATTTTTGTTCTCTTTCTAATTCTTCAAGTTGTAGTTTTAGATAGTTTATTAAAAAAATTTTTTTTTTGTTTCTTGAGGTAGGCCTGTAATGCAGTCCCTCCTAGGACTGCTTTCACTGTGTCCCTTAGATTTTGTGTTGGTGTGTATTCATTTTTATTCATTTCCAGGAATTTTTTGATTTCTTCCTTGACCTCTTTGGTAACCCATTCATTGTTTGGTAACATGCTATTTAGCCTCCATATCTTTGAATGTTTTTGACTATTTTTATTGCAATTGATTTCTAGTTTCATGCCACTGTGATCCAAGAAAGTACTTGATATGAATTCAATCTTCTTAAACTCGTAGAGGCTTAGTTTGTGTCCTAACAGGTAGTCTATCTTTGAGAATGTCCCATGTGCACTTGAGTAGAATGTATATTCTGCAGATTTTGGGTGAAATGTTCTGTAAATGTCAATTGAATCCATCTAATCTAGTGTATTGTTTAGGGTCTCAATATTCTTGCTAATTTTTTTGTCTAGAATATCTATCCAGTGATGTCAGCGGGGTGACATCACTGGATAGATAAAATCCCCTACTATGATTGTATTGTTGTCAATCTTTCCTTAAAGTCCTCCAGAAGTTTTAAAATATATCTTAGTGCTCCTATATTGAGTGTATATATGTTTACTAGGGTTATATCCTCTTGTTGGATTGATACCTTTAATATTATGTAGTGACTTTCTTGTTTCTTGTTATGGATTTCATTCTGAAGTCTATTTTATCAGATATCTGTATTGCTACCCCAGCTTTTTTTTTCATCTCCATTTGCATGGAAAACATTTTTTTTCATGCCTTCATTTTCATCCTGTATGATTCTTTTATTCTGAGGTGGTTCTCTTATAGACAGCATATATATGAGTCATTTTTTTTTTTTTTTTAATCCACTCAGCTACCCTATGTCTTTTGATTGGAACATTGAAGCCATTCACATTTAAGGTTATTATTGATAGGAACTTAGTTGTTGCCATTTATATTCTTTATGCCTATGTTCCTCTCTATCTACTTCTTCTTCTTACATCACTCCCTTTAGCATTTCTTGCTGTGCTGGTTTGGGGGTAGTTAACTCCTTTAGCCTTGTTTTTGGTCTGCAATCTCTTTATTTCACCTTCAATTTTGAACAATAGCCTTGCAGGATTGAGTAATCTTGGATTCAGTCCTTTGCATTTCATTACTTTGTATACTTCATGCCACTCTCTTCTGGTCTGCAGTGTTTCTATTGAGAATCAGGTGACAGTTTAATGAGAACTCCCTTGTAGGTAACTTTCTGTCTCTCTCTTGCTGACTTTTAAGATTCTTTCTTAGTCTTTAATGTTTGCCATTTTAATTATGAGGTGTCTAGGTATGGGTCTCTTTGGGTTCATCTTGAGTGGGACACTCTGTGTTTCCTAAACTTGAGTTACTTTTTCCTTCACCAGATTAGGGAAGTTTTCTGCCATTATTTATTCAAACAGGTTCTCTATTCCTTTTTCTGATTCTTCTCCTTCTAGTTCTTGTATGATGCAGATGTTATGTTTCATGTTGTCCCAAAGCTCCCTTAAACTCTCCTCCTGCTTTTTAATTTTTTTTTCTCTAATTGTTCTAGTTGGGTGTTTTGCTCTACTTTGTCTTCTAATTTGCTGATTCGGTCCTCAGTTTCTTTTTTTTTTTTTAATCCTCACCTGAGGACATTTTTCCATATTTTGTTCAGATAGAGTGGGAGGAAGGGAGAGAGAGACACACAGAGAGAGAGAAAGAGAGAGAGAGAGAGGGAGAGAGAGAGAGAGAAACATCGATGTGAAAAGGACACATCGAGTGGCTGCCACCCGCACAACCAACCAGGGCTGGGGACAAACCGCAACCAAGGTACATGCCCTTAGTGGAACCGAACCCGGGTCTCTCTGGACCACAGGCCGATGCTCCAACCGCTGAGCCAAACCAACCAGGGCGGTCCTCAATTTCTTTTAATCTACTGTGTAATCCTTCCAGGTATTCTCCCTGTTTCTTTTAAATTAAAATTTTTTTGTTAATCTTCACCTAAGGATATTTTTCCATTGATTTTATTTTTAGAAAGAATAGAAGGGAGGGAGGGAAGGAGAGAGAGAAACATTGATGTAAGAGAGATACATTGATTAGTTGCCTCCTGCACAACCCCGACCAGGGCTGGGGATCAAACCTGCAACCCAGGTATATGCCCTTGACTGGGAATCAAACCTGCAACCCTTTGGCTCGTTCAACAGCTGAGTCATACTGGCCAGGGTTCAGGGTATTCTTTATTTCAGTTATGTCATTCTTCATTTCAGATTTGTTCTTATTTATTGTTTCTATGTCTGTTTTCATGCTGATAAAATATTTACTAAGTTCATTGTAGTTCTCACTAAGTTGTTTGAGCATCCTTATAACCATTACTTTGAACTCTATCTCTGATTAATTACTTGCCTCCATTTATTTAGCTCTTTTTCTGGATATTCCTCCTGCTTTCATTTGGGGACTGTTTTTTTGTTTCCCCAAAACACATATACAACCACCACAACAAAACCTTTGGATCTGTTATTTGTGGAGCTCACTGGATTTTGTTCCAATGTTGTTGAATCTGGACCTTTGGGTGTTGGACCCTGCCCTCTTGGGCAGTTCTTTGGTGCAGGCCAATGTGAATCACTGTTCCTTCCTGGCCTTGGATATCCTGGCTGGAGCCCTGCAGGATGGGACTCCAAGTAGTCTGGTGGGCAGGGCTTCCCTGGCCCAGAGGCTGGGTCTGATTTGGGGCTTGCCCCTTGATTGTACTTATTCTGGGCTACTTTCCCTCTCCCCACGGATCTTGGTTCTGTGGGGTATTCGGTCTGGTCAGGATGGTTTAAACAGATTTGCATTTGGGGTGGTGCCTGTAGCATATGGGGGTTCAGGCAGTAGCTTCCTCTCCTTCTAATGCCTCAGCTCTGCCTGGGTTGCTGGCACCACCTGGTTGCCACCCTAAACAGGGGAAGATAGAATTTAGAAAAAGAAAAACAAAAACAAAAAAAGGAAACCAAACCCTGCCTGGCTCTTTAATCTTCAGCATGACTGGCTCTTTCTGGGTGGGGGTCTGTCCAGGCTCCCACAAGGCCAGATGTCTGATCCCCAGCGCTGCTGTGCCCAGCCACTGGGTGCTGATTTCCAGCCCAGAGCTGTTCCATGGGTACAGAGACTGCTCTCAAGACTGCTCTCAAGACAACCCTAGTTTCTTGTATTCCTTTAGAAGCTGGAAGACACCGTCATTGACTTGGGAGAGATTCGGAAACAAGCCCTGCAGAGCCCGGGCGTCAACCGCAGCCTGTTTCTCATCACCCTGGAGAGGTGCTTCCAGGTGCTGAGCTCCCTGGAGTGCGTGGAGATCCTGGGCAAGGTGCTGCGGGCGTCCCCTGGCAGCTTCCTCCAGCCCAGCATCGCAGAGAGCCTCCCCCAGGACCTGCGCCAGGACGCCTTCCGGAACCTGTGAGTGCTCCTCCCACCCCCTGGCTCCACCCACCACCCTGGGAGGCTATTGTGAGAATTCAAGGAGGTACCGCATGGCAGGGGGGGGGGGCAAGACATGGGGGTGGGGAGCAAGGCATGGCGGGGTGGGGGAGGCAAGGCATGGCGGGGGTGGGGTGGGAGGAGGTAAGTCATGGGGGGGAGGTAAGGCATGGGGAGGTAAGTCATGGGGGGGAGGTAAGGCATGGGGAGGTAAGTCATGGGGGGGAGGTAAGGCATGGGGGGGTAAGTCATGGGGGGAGGTAAGGCATGGGGAGGTAAGGCATGGGGAGGTAAGGCATGGGGGGGAGGTAAGGCATGGGGAGGTAAGTCATGGGGGGGAGGTAAGGCATGGGGGTGAGGTGAGGCATGGGGGGGTAAGGCATGGCGGGGGGGGAGGTAAGGCATGGGGGGGTAAGGCATGGCGGGGGGGTAAGGCATGGGGGGGAGGTAAGGCATGGGGGGAGGTAAGGCATGGGGGGGAGGTAAGGCATGGGGGGGAGGTAAGGCATGGGGAGGTAAGTCATGGGGGGGAGGTAAGGCATTGGGGGGAGGTAAGGCAAGCGGGGGGAAGTAAGGCATGGGGGGAGGTAAGGCATGGGGGTATAAAGCATGGCATGGGGGGAGGTGAGGCATGGGGGGGAGGTGAGGCATGGGGGGGAGGTGAGGCATGGGGTGAGGTGAGGCATGGGGGGGTAAGTCACGGGGGGGGAGGTAAGGCATGGGGGGGTAAGGCATGGCGGGGGGGGTAAGGCATGGGGGGGGAGGTAAGGCATGGGGGGGGAAGGCAGGTGGGGACAGGTTAATATGTTCGGTCTGGAACAGAAGCCAAAAACCTGTGGTGATCAGAGACGGTTTGATTACTGTCTCCCACATTGTCATTCTGGTGCTATCCTCCCATTTTTGCCACATTTGCACACACCTGTGCTATTATTTACTTCCTGTTTTTCTCGCTAGTGACTCAGTCTTTTTACTTAATATTTATTTAAAAAGCAAATTTGACATCATTACAGTAAATGGGAAATCAGTATTATTCATCTTAAGTAAAAGTGGTCGTAAGAATGAATACCATGATGTGGAAGACAGTGCTGCCGAGTCCCGGCTGGATGTGTGGCTCTCCACGCCGCGGCCTTTCCTCTGGGCGAACCAGCTGCGTGCTGGCGACCCCGGCCGACCACAGCCCCCTCGCCGGGCGGGCGCAGGACCTGCGCTGCAGGCCAGCCCGTGTGTGTGTGTGTGTGTGTGTGTGTGTGGCACCTCGCCCTACATGACACTGCACTGCGGGCTACAGGGCACCAACATTGTGACCACTGCCAGCTCCTCCTGTTACTAATTATGTCACTTTATGGCCCTAAAGATCCTTCTAAATCTAAAAATGATTTGAAGAAGAAAAGACCAATGGCAACCTGGGAGAGTCTATATATACATATGTATCTACATTTTATTTTTGCAGCCAAAGGACTGTCGGGGAAAAAGACAGTACACTGACAATATACTGACCTCATTCTGTCTCCAGGGTGTGCATTGTGTCTGCCAAGACATAACATCGTGTGAAGCCCTTAGCTCTGTAGGCCGGTACACAATCTGTCTTGGTCCAGCATCTCCTGCCCCGGGGGCCAGGCTCTGGGTGGGAGAGGACCTGGAGAGGACACGACGGGGAGAGGGACTTCGTTGGCCACTGCTCATGTTTCCCCTGTTGGAAAACCCACTCAGACTTTCTTTGAAATTCCTGTTTCCAAAAGGGGATTATTGGATCATGTAATTAATAGTTTTACTATAGGGCTAACTTCAGGCACAATTAAATTCAGAAGCTCAAATCTCACAGTCAGGAACATGCGTGGTCTTTTGTCTCAGCTCTGCATGCTCTGGGTCGGCCTGTGACAGGCGGGCTCTCCTGGCTCCCGGCCCAGCACCACGTGCTCGAACGCCTGGTCTGGGGGAGGCGGAGCCTCTTTCCAGCAGGTCCAAGCACAGCCGCAGACCTGATTTTCGTTGGTCCAAACTGGGTCACGTGCCTCCTTGATCCAATCACTGTTGTCAATGGACCTAATATGCCGAATGTCTTAGATGTGGGTGACTGTCCTGCTCATAAAACATGGATGGACCACGAACAGGAGAAATGTTTCTCCAAAAATAATTGAGGTGCTGCTCTGAAAAAGAGACACATGGATGGTTACTACAGACACTTCATGTGGACCCTGGAGAAGAGCGGGAGGTCACCCAGCTTGCAGGCAGAAAGACCTAACATTCCCTGACTCAGTTCTCAGTTCTGAGCGGGAGTCCTGTATATGCCCCCCTTCCACAGAAGGCATCCTAGTTGGCTCTCAACAACCCTTCTTCTACAGATAAAGAATCTGAGGTCTAAAGAGGAGATGGCACCCCAAGGCGGCCCCATGGGGCTTGCCTTCATCTGAGCTCAGCCCAGTTTTCTCCTCCTCCTGCTCTGCCCCACTCTTCCCGCTTCTCTTCGTGAGGGTGGTGTCATTAATCCCTTCCTGTTTTTCAGATGAGGAAACTGAGGCGGGGGGAGATTAAATAACCCGCCCACGGCCAGACGGCTAGGGAATGCCAGAGCCTCCCGAGAAGGAGGCTTACCGCTTCCCAAGAACTGGGTCTGTCCTGCCCTTTCAGCTACTTGGGTCTGGAGAAACAAAACAATAAACAAAAAGAAGTAAATGAAAAGAAAACATGGAAAACATGAAGAGGAATGTAAGGGGCGGTTTGCCTGTTCACCAGAGATGATGGGAGCGTGCAAGGGTAGAGTGTAGGCTGGAAGGGGCTGGCGACTCAGTCACCTGGCGAACGTATGTCCGTGGTGGCGGGCGGGGTGACGGAGGGCTCGCAGCAAGGAGCACAGCTGTTTGCAGGATGCATCGGGGTGATGATCGGCGTCGAGTGCTGTGAAAGGTCACCCTGTCTTTGGACCCGATGAGACCATTGCATATGGCACCGAGGAGGTCACTGGTGACTTCGGTCACAGGAGTGGTGTGGTGGTGAAGAAACCAGATTTCGGTGGCTTAAAAGTGGCCTAGACACTTCACCCTCAGCAGGATGTCTGTAAGCAAAACAGACAACCGCAGGTGTTGCAGAGGATGTGGGGAGATCAGGACCCTCACACCCCGTTGGTGAGAACGTAGGTTGGCGCAGCTACTTTGGACAACATCCAGCAGGTTCTCAGATGCCTAAGTGTAGAGTTGCCACTTAACCCAGCAAGTCCGCTCCTGGGTCTGTATCCAAGAGAAACGAGAGCGTGTGCACACTGAAACTTGTACGTGAATGTTCGCCGCAGCATCGTTCATCATAGGCAAAAGGTAGAAACGCTCAAGTGCCCATCCTCCGATGAATGGATAAACAAAGTGTGGTCCGCCCACACAGTGGAGGAGTATTTGGCCCTGAAAAGGAATGAAGTACTAACATGCTACAAGATGCCCGAACCTGGACATGCCAAATGAAAGAAGCCATTCACAAAGATGACACACGGTCTGATTCGTTGATCTGAAATGCCCAGAAGAGGCAAATGCACAGAGACAGAAAGTGGATGGTGGTTTCTAGGAGCGGGGGTGGCCAAAGGTTGAGGGTGACAGCTGCAGGGGATAGGGTTTCTTTGTGGGGTGCTTACAATCTTCTAAAATTGATTGTGGTAATGGTTGTACAACTCTGTGGATATACTGAAAATCACTGAAGTGTGCGCTGTAAGTGGGACAATTGTATGGTATGTGAATTATAATCTTAATCGAGCTGTTACCAAGGAATGTGACCTCAGGTGAGGAAGGGGACCGATCTCGGGAAGGTGTGTGACTGAGGGCGGAGGAGAGACCGAAGCTCCCTGTAGCAAGGGAGCAGAAGGGCTTCTAACATGAGAACCGGGGGCGTTAGCTCTTTGCACCCTCCTCAGGGCAGCCTGCACCTGCCTGTTCCTTAACTGACACCCGTGTGCGTGTCCTTCAGATCCGCGGTGTTCAAAGACCTGTACGACCAGACGTCGGCGCGCGCCCAGAGAGCCCTGTACGCCTGGATGGCGGGCGTCTTGCAGGAGTCCTCCAACGCCACCGGTGAGCCTGCTTGAGGCGCAGCGCGTCCTAGGGGGCGTCCAGCCCTGCAAACAGGTGCTTCATCTGAAGACGGGAGTCCGATTTCAGTGTCACTTGTGCTTTGTACCTGCCCCTCTCCCAACGTCCCGAAAGGGTGTGGCTTGGTATGAGTGAAGCACCTCCCCACTTCTGCAGTGCGTCCGGTGTCCCACGCGGGGCCTGGTCTCTTAGTGGATGTGATAGTGGTGGCATCCTGGAGTTGAGGACCTTTAGGATACAGTTCTAGGTTCTAAATCTGTGTTAAAATGGTAGAAGATAAGTTTTAAAAAGAAAATCTAGGAAATAAAGCACAGAAATAAAGCGCTTAACTTCCCAACAACCAAAGTAGAACTAGGTGAGGATTCATTTACTTGAGGGATGTTTATTAAAAACAATGTCCCTGGAGGGGAGAGAGTCGCATTCACAGACAGAAAGTACAGTGGTGGTTGTGAGGACTGAGGGGTGGGAGTTCGTGTCTAAGGAGTAGAGTTTCAGTTTTGCAAACAGAAAGTTCTGGAGCCAGTGTGACGATGCTCGCGCACTGTGGATGAGCTGAGCGCCACGCACACTGGGGCGGTTCAGGGGTGGGTGCCGGGGTGTCTGTTACCGCGGCTCAAAGAAGGGCTGTGTAGGTTAGAAATGCGAGCAGTGTTTAGATGGCTGTAGCGTGTTGATGCTTAATGTCACTGATATAAACAGAACGAACTTTTAAAACACTTTTTAGATGCCTACCCTCTGTCAGCCACTTGGGACCCAGGAACACGAGACAGTTTTTGCTCTCATGGAGCTATTGTTTTATTGCAGGAGGGTAGGTGGAGAAAATGCTTAAACAAGTAACAAGAGAGAGAGGCAGAGACAGAGATGGAGACAGAGAGACGGGGACAGAGACGGAGAGAGAAAGAAACGGCTTGGCACAGCTCTGTGCAGAGGCGAGTAAGCACTGTAGACGTTGAGGCCCTGTGGTCGCTGTCTCAGCTGCTCCCCTCTGGTGTCGCAGGAAAGCAGGCACACACAGTAGATGAATAGGCGTGGCCGTGTCCCCGACCAAACCTTGTTTTATGGACAGTGAAATTGGAATTTCATGTAATTTTCACACATCACAAAATATTCTTTTTCTTTAAATTTTTCTTTCAAATATCGGAAAGTGTGAAAACCAAGCTTGCAGGTGGTACAAGAACAGGTGGTGGGTGTAGTTTGCCGGGCCCTGGACTAAGGGGTCAGAGAAGGCCTGACGTTTCAGTCGAGACCAAAATGGGCAGTGGACTCAGGCAGGCCAGGCTCCGGGGGGACACCCGGGCAGAGCGCCCAGCAGGCGCAAAGGCCTGAGGTGGGCATGAGCTCAGCGTGCTGGGGAGGCGTGGAGGAGGTCAGGGAGGTTGGCGTGAGGGGAGGGCCAGTCAGTTCTTTTCCTGGAATTAAGCTCTGAGTTTGTATGTGCGGAGCAGTGACGACATACTGGTCAACGTCTCCAGTGCATACACTGTTCCCACCACCTGACGAGGAGTTACAGCCTCCAGAAACCTGACCTCACACAGTGTCACCCTGAGAAAGACACTGAACCTCCACACTTCCCTGAGTCCTCATGGCCATAATTTATTCAGAGACAGACTTTCCGTCTAAAATCCCTTCAGGGTGTTTTATTATCAAACTAAGGTGAATGAAAATGAATTCTACTTGTTTAAACTTTTTATTTTTCATGAAGTGCCTTGAGGTAACTGGAAATGCTTTGGGTGTTAAAAATATCCCCAGCTTCAGGGTCATTGGTCTGCAGAAATACAGTTTGTGGGTATTAATTCAAAATGAACAACTCCATGTGGTCCTTGGTGAATTTAGTTGTTTTCCCCTCCCAAATTCTCTAGCTTGTTGGGGTCACTCTTATCACCAAGTTCAATGTCCAGAGTCCCCATTTAGGGGCCCTGTGCTCACCCTAAAGCTCCTGTGTATTCCTGTGTGTGGGGGTCACCTGTTGTTCTCGGGACTCGACCCGTGCAGCAGTGACGTCATCATTGCCCATGGCTTCCTGCACAGCTCCTGGTGACTGACTTACTGCACCCTGTAAACGCTCCCCCACTTCCCTGTTTCTCCCCGAAACGCCAAGAGTGCAATGTTGTCGTGTAGAAAGTCTTTTACTGAACGACTGGGCAATGTGGCCAATTCTAGCTCAGGGAAATTTGAAGTTGGATCCTGGACATAGCTGCTCTTTTAAACTAAACAATTTTTTCAACTGCAGTTGACATACAATATTATATTAGTTTCAGGTGTACAGCGTAGTGGTTAGACATTTATATAACTTATTAAGTGATCCCTCTGATAAGTCTAGTATCCACCTGGCATAAATATTACAATATTATTGACGATATTCCTTAGGCTGTACTTTACATCTCTGTGACTACTTTGTAACTTCCCAGTTGTACTTCTTAATCCCTTCACCTTTCTTACCCACTTCCCCCCGACCCGGTCCCATCTGGACCCGTTAGTCAGTTCTCTGTGCCCATGAGTTTGTTTCTGCTTTGTTTGTTCATTTCTTTTGTTTTCTAGGTTCCAGTGTAAGTGAAATCATATGGTATTCATCTTTCTCTGACTAATTTCACTTAGCATAACGCCTTCTAGATCTGTCCATGTTGTTGCAAATGGCAAGATTTTATTCTTTATTATGGCAGAGTAATACTCCATTGTATACATGTACCACTTCTTTATCCATCATCAACTGATGGACACTCTGGCTGCTCCCAAATCTTGGCTATTGTAGATAATGCTGGGGTGCAGATATCTTTTTAAATTAGTGTTTTCATTTCCTTCAGATAAATACCCAGAAGAGGGATTGCTGGATCTTATGGCAGTTCTATTTTTATATTTTTGAAGACCCTCCATACTGTTTTCCATAGTGGCTGCACCAATTTGCATGCCCCTTAGTGCACGAGGGTTCCCTTTTCTACATGATGGTTCTTCAGGTTCCATTGACATCCCACAGACGACAGGGAGAGTCCTCTTGGAATGCAGAGGAGACAGACGCCACTGCTGGCTGGGGAGACGGCAGGCTTTGGAGGCAGAGGGTGGGGTGAAAGGTGTTCTAGCTCACGAGGAGGCCCAGGTGAGTGAAGACTTGGCAAACATTTGGGGTGCCTCCGAGTGGTTCAGTTTCGCTCAAGTATAATCACATGATGAAACCCAGCAAGGGTGATACTGATTGTTATAGCTGCCAATGAAAGAGTCAAATGTATTTGAAGTTGCAAGATTATTTAGTAACTGAGTGAGCTCAAAAGAACATTGTGTTTTGTGGTCTTAAGTCTTAACATATAATATGCATTTCTAAGCTCCCAGGTGATGGTGATGCTGCTGGTCCAGAGACCACACTGTGAGTAGCAGAGCGGCAGGTGGCGGGCGGGCGTCGTGACTCCCACGGCGTGTAGCGTGAATGGGTGGGAGGCGGACCAGGAGTGGCCATCGAGGAAATTAACGAGTTAATAAACGCAGGAAGGAGGTCCTGACATCAAAGATGCTTTTGATGATCACATTCCAGTGCAAAGGCTTTTGTTCATTTATTCGCTTATGTATCCATTTATTTATTTTCTTGCAGATAACTCTGTTTCATGGGTCAGCGCCGAAAACTTATGGATTTTGGGCAGATATATGGTTCACCTATCACTTGAAGAAATTATGAAAATCAGTCCTATGGAAGTAAGTTGGAAAGGTACACTTAAGGTCCCCCTTCTGATTCATCCAGGATAAGGCATATTCCAAGCTTCTCCTGTTCCGCCAGCCAGTCCAGGAAATTGGACTCCTACTTCAACTCAATATACCTGGGCCTCTAAACTCTCGGAATAAGGTCTCAAGCGGCCAGTCATCGGATTGTGTTCTAGTGCAGAAGTACTAAGAAAAGAAAAAGAATTGTGGACAGTGGAGATAGCTCTGATGTGAGCAGATGAGGGTAGAAGGAGAATGTTGGCGATGAACCAAAAATCACTTGAGTATTTTTGTCCTCAAGAAAGGCCCAGGACAATAGCTATGGAGTTCCCAGTCCTTGGAAGCTTGAACCCAAATCAAAAGCAACATGGATTAATAGTGAGGTCTATTTATAGCTACTTTTGTGGACAGCTACTTCAACAGGAATAACGATAGCGTTTTAACTCCCTTCTAAGGTTACTTAACTCATGGTCAACCTGTTTCCCTCCTCCTGATGTTGACCCAGCGACACTAAAGTAAGTCCCTTGGGCACCCTGACTCTGAATGGCAGCCTCCAAAGAACGTGGCCAACACAGAGGCATTCGGGGAGTCGCAGGCTTGTCTCCAGTTTTTATCCCGGTGCCCAGCTGTCACCCGGCCAGTGAGGGAAGTCTCTGCATCAAATGACAGGCTTGTCCAAGGGCTAGCTGACCCAACAGTGTCTAGTCGTTGTGAAATCAGAGGCAACCCTAGCTTCCTCTTCTGACCTCGAAGGCTGGGAATATGTGAATGTCTTTCAGTTGTATAGCCCTCAGTTGTAACATGGGTTAAACCTCCACTTGCCCTCCCGGCGCTGAACGAGTCTCAGGAAGCAGAGGAGGCGGGGCACGGGAGCTCTGAGCTCCAGGGCCTCCTGCAGCGTGTCTTGTTCACCTAGGAGTGTGGACAGGGAAGGGAAAGCAGAACACCAGCTCCCAGGGAGTTTACACGGACCGTGGGCGGGCCGAGAGGGGGAGGCGGCTGCATGAGTCTAAGTTCAGAAAGCAGTGCATCAGATATAGGATGTCAGGGGATACCCTGGGACACAGGCAACAACTGAACAAGAATAGAAAGATGTCAATACACTACTCAGATTCTTTCTTTCTTGTTCATTTTGGAAAAAAAAAAAAAAAATCCTCTCCTGAGGATATGTTTTTCATTAGAGAGAGAGAGACAGAAACATGGACAAAAACACTGATCGTTGCCTACCGTATGCCTCCCACCCAGGGGTCAAACCTGAAACCTGGTTATGTGCCCTGACTGGGAATCAAACCCAAGACCCCTCGGTGCACAGGACAGTGCTCCAACCCACTGAGCCACACCACCAGGGCATTGTTCACTTTTTTTAAGCTTTCTTTCTTTTTTTAAAAAAATTGATTTATTTTTGTTACAGATGTTCCCTCCCCCGAGAAACCCTCCTCCCGATTCCGCCTCCCTCCCCCAAGCATTGTTGTTTATGTCCATGGTTACACATACATGCATATACGTTCTTTGGTTTATCTCACCCCCCCCCCCCCGAGGTTTGTCAATCTGTACCCTACTTCTATGTCTCTGGGTCTATTTTGTTCATGTGCTTTTTTTGTTCATTATATTCCATAAATAAGTGAGATCATGTGGTATTTGTCTTTCTCAGATTGGCTTATTTTGCTTAGCATAATACTCCCAGGTCCCTCCATGTCATCTGAAAGGATGAGAGATCCTTCTTTCTTACAGCTGCATAGTATTCCACTGTATATATGTACCACTGCTTTTTTATCCATTCATCTACTGATGGACACTTGGGCTGTTTCCAGATCTTAGTGATTGTAAATAGTGCTGCTATGAACATAGGGGTATGTATATTCTTTCTGATTAGTGTTTCAGGCTTCTTAGTGTATATTCCTAGAAGTGGGATCACTGGGTCAAATGGCAGTTCAATTTTTAATTTTTTTCTTTATTGATTTTAGAGAGAGAGGAAGGCAGAGGGAGAGACAGAAACATTGATGGGAGAGAACACTGATTGGCCGCCTCCTGCATGCCCTCCAATGGGGATTGGGTCCACAACCTGGGCATGTGCCCCAACCAGGAATCGAACCAGTGACCTCCTGGTGCATGGGTTGACACTCAACCACTGAGCCACACTGGCCAGGCTCAATTTTTAACCTTTTGAGGAGAAACCATAGTATTTTTCATAGTGGCTGTACCAGTCTGCATTCCCACCAGCAGTGTATTAGAGTCCCCTTTTCTCCACACACTCGCCAGCACTTGATGTTTGATGATTTGTTGGTGGCGGCCATTCTGACAGGTGTGAGGTGATACCTCATAGTCGTCTTAATTCGCATCTCTCTGATGATTAGTGATGTTGAGCATATTTTCATATGTCTCTTGGTAATTTGTATGTCCTGTTTGGAGAGGTGTCTACTTAGGTCCTCTGCCCATTTTTAAATTGGGTTCTTTGTCTTTCTTTTGTTGAGTTGTATGAGTACTCTATATTTTTTGGAAATTAACCCCTTATCTGATGTATCGTTGGCAATTATGCTCTCCTATTTAGTGGGCTCCCTTTCCATTTTGATGGTTGTTTCTTTTGCTGTGCAGAAGCTTTGTAGTCCCATGTGTTCATTTTGCCTTTGTTTCTCTTGCCTTAGGTGATGTATCAGTGAAAATTCTGCTGCATATGATGTCTGAAATTTTGTTGCCTACATTTTCTTCTAGGATTTTTATGAATTCCCGAGTCACATTTAAGTCTTTTATCCATTTTGAGTTTATTCTTGTGTAGGGTGTAAGTTGGTGGTCTAGTTTCATTTATTTTTGCATGTAGCTGTCCAGTTTTCCCAGCACCATTTATTAAAGAGACTGTCTTTACTCCATTGTATGCTCTTGCCACCTTTGTCAAATATTAATTGAGTATAATGACTTGGGTCAATTGCTGGGTTCTCTGTTCTGTTCCATTGATCTATATGCCTGTTCTTGTGCCAGTACCAGGCTGTTTTGATTACTGTCGCTTTGTGGTATAACCTGATATCTGGTATTGTGATCCCTCCTACTTTGTCCTTCTTTTTCAAGATTGCTGTGGCTATTCGTGGTCTTTTTTTGGTTCCATATGAACTTTTGAAGTATTTGGTCTAGTTCCATGTAATATGTCGTTGGTATTTTAATGGGGATTGCATTGAATCTATAGATTGCTTTGGGTAGTATGGACATTTTAATGATGTTAATTCTTTCAATCCATGAACAAGGTATATCCTTCCACTTCTTTATATTTTCTTTTATTTCTTTTTTCAATGTCCCGTAGTTTCTGCAAATAAGTCCTTTAATACTTTGGTTAAGTTTATTTCTAGTTACCTTAATTTTTTTGACATGATGGTAAATGGGATTGCTTTTTTAGTTTCTCTTTCTGTGAGTTCATTATTGGTGTATAAGAATGCCATCAATTTCTTGATGTTAATTTTGTATCCTGCTACTTTGCCAAATACGTTTATTAAATCTAGTAGATTTTTGATGGAGTCTTTAGGGTTTTCTATGTACAATATCATGTCATCTGCAAATAGTGACAGTTTCACTTCCTTCTTTTCAATTTGGATCCCTTTTGTTTTTTCTACATGTCTGATTGCTGTGGCTAAGACTTCCAGTATTATGTTAAATAAGAGTGGCAAAAGTGGGCATCCATATCTTGTTCCTGTTCTTAAGGGAAATGCTTTTAGTTTTTGCCCATTGAGTATGATGTTGGCTGTAGGTCTTTCATATATGGCCTTTATTATGTCGAGATATGATCCCTCTATTCCCACATTGCTGAGCATTCTTATCAGAAATGGGTGCTGGATTTCGTAGAATGCTTTTTCAGTGTCTATTGATATGATCATATGGTTTTTATCTTTCATTTTATTTATGTGGTGTATCACATTTATTGATTTGGGAATATTGTATCAGCCTTGCATCCTTGGGATGAATCCCACTTGGTCACGGTAAATAATTTTTTTAAATGTATTGCTGGATCTGATTTGCTAATATTTTGTTAAGCATTTTGGCATCTATGTTCATCAGGGATATTGGCCTGTAGTTTCCTTTCTTTGTAGTGTCTTTATCTGGTTTTGGAATTAGAATTATGCTGGCCTCATAAAATGAGTTTGGAAGTCTTCCTTTTTCAATTTTTTGGAATAGTTTGAGGAGAATGGATGTTAGTTCTTCTTTGAATGTTTGGTAAAAGTCCCCATGAAGCTGCCTGGGCCCGGGCTTTTGTTTGCTGGGAGATTCTTGATTATATCTTCAATTTTCTTAGTTGCTATTGGTCTGTTCAAGTTTTCTATATCTTCCTGGTTCAGTTTTGGGAGACAATGTGTTTCTAGAAATTTGTCTATTTCTCCTAGATTGTCCAATTTGTTGTCTTATAATTGTTCATAGTATTTGTTAATGATCCTTTGTATTTCTGTGGTGGCAGTTGTTTGTTTCTGATTTTATTTGGGTCTGTCTCTCTGTTTCTTGGTGAGTCTAACTAAGGGTCCATCAATCATGTTCATCTTTTCAGACAATCAGCTCTTTGTTTCATTGATCTTTTGAATTGTTTTTTTTTTTTTTTAGTCTCTATGTCGTTTATTTCTGCTCTGATCTTTACCGGTTCTTTCCTTCTACTTGCTCTGGGTTTTTCTTTTTGTTTGCTTTCTAGGTCTTTAAGTTGTGAGGTTAGATAGGCAATTAGAAATTTTTCTTGTTTCTTAAGGTAGGCCTGTAGTACTATGAACTTCCCTCTCAGGACTGCTTTTGCTGTGTCCCATAGATTTTGTGTTGTTGTGTGTTCATTTTCATTGGTTTCCAGGAAGTTTTTAATTTCTTCCTTGATCTCCTTGGTTACCCATTCATTGTTTAATAACGTGCTATTTAGCCCCCCTGTGTTTGAATGTTTTAAAATGTTTTTGTTGTAACTGATTTCTAGTTTCATGCCATTGTGATCTGAAAAGATGCTTGATATGATTTCGATCTTCTTGAACTTGTAGAGACTCAGT